TCAGGGTGCCGTCAACCAGACAGTGTCGGCTGGCGACCCCCAGGGGGAGAGCCTTCTCTGTCGGAGCACCCACCCTCTGGAACGAGCTGCCCCCAGAGATCCGGGTGATTCCGGATCTCCCCTCCTTCCGCCGCGCCCTCAAGACCTGGTTATTTCAGCGGGCAGGACTGGCCTAGGGGTATTTTAAATTGGTTTTAATTAAATTTTTAGTAGAAGCGGCCAAATTTGAATATTTATTTTTAATCATTTTTAAATTTTGTATTGTATTGTATCATTGTTTTAAACTGGCTGTAAGCCGCCCTGAGTCCTCCGGGAGAAGGGCGGGGTATAAATTTAATAAAATCAAAATCAAAAAATCAAAATCAATCCCACTGATCGTACCTATCACACCACCCTCTGCCAGCTCCCCAGTCTCCTCCCTTACCACCCCGCGCCCCCCAGACAGGACTGGCCTTGGCCTCAGAGAGGACTCCCCAAGTTCCTCTCGGGCCAACCCCGAACCCCCTAAAAATTTAATAAAGCACCCCTCTAAGAAGACCCGTAGTTTTTTCCTTCTTAGGTCCCTCAGTGCTGTCGCTGAGTGCCACCTCTCAGGGTTCCAGACCCCTTCATCGAGGCCGGCCCTTGGAATGGTATTGGGCCATGCCTGCGCGATGGGGGAGTCGCGCAGGGCCAGCACTTCCCTCATCATCATCATCATCATCATCATCATCATCATCATCATCATCATCATTATTATTATTATTATTATTATTATTATATACATCAGATTAGTGTTTGTCAACCTTGGTGGCTTTAAGACATGTACATTTCAACTCCCAGAATCCCCCAGCCAGCATTGCTCGGGAATCAGAGAAATTGCATTACTGCAGTTAGATATGCATCAGAGTAATGTATTAGCTGTAATGTGTGATAAGATATATAAGACAACAACACTGACAGATTGAAAAAGACAGTTGCTGCTAACTACAATTTTTTTTTTAAAAAAAATCACCTGATGGAGCATAATTGGAATGTCTATATCCTATTTCAAAGAGGACAGCTTTTTGGGAAAAACTCAGTAGATGGATAAAAATGCCAAATCCAGTCTAAACATCTGGCTGACTGAACGAACAACAACAACACCAATAATCATAATCATAATAAATAAACTGGCCAAATAATAAGAGACCAAATGAAGAATAGAAGAGAGACTCGGCAAGGCAAAGTGTTACATGGCCAGTTCATAAAACAACTAGCAGGCAAAGCAGATTAAAAACAAAACCTGACAAAAGTAGGAAAACTGAAGAAAGAGACAGAGGGGCTGATTCTGGCTTCAAAGACCAAGCCTTAAGAACAAATGCATACAAAGCCAGAATTGAGAAGACAGCAACATATAGCAAATGCCGTCTCTTCAAAGAAGCTGAAGAAACTACGGACCACCTGGCTACTTACTGCAAGATCACACAGATGGACAATAAACAACAGAATGCCAAAATAGCAACAATGGTGCATTGGAATATCTGCAGGAGATACCATTTGCTTGTAAGCAAGAACCATCGGGACCACAAAATAGAGTACACAAAGTCCTCGGCTTGTGATTGGTCACTTAGCAATTGTTCAAAGATACCACGGACCTCCTCGAAGTACTTACAACTTGGTTCCAAAGTTCCCTCAATTTAGCTGTCCTCCCCCACAGTCACATGTCCTTCACATGTAGCCTGCCTGCAGGTGCAGCCATTTGTGGTAACCCATGAACACGTGACTGAATTTCATAACAATGTAGCTAAAAAGTGGCTTTTACTTCAACTCAGCCCATAGCAAACCTTTTTTCTCTTAATGACCATGGTATTCACTTAACAATGGCCACAAAAAAGGTCATATGTTTGGTTGGTCAGGTGGGTAACTGGTTTTACAACCATTAGGACCTATGACCATGATAGTCAGGTTCCATTATGGTCATATGTCAAGGATTACCTGTAATAGCAAATGAAGAAACTAAAGGGCTCTGGGACTTTAGAAATTCAAACAGACAGGCGGCATCTGCTACATAACACCTCAGGCTTAACAATTGTTGATAAGAAAGTAAAAAAAAAAAATCTGGATAGTGGACATTGCAATAGCTGGAGGCAGCAGAATTCCAAACCGCTGCATATCCCTGCTTTTCCATAACCAGTGAACTGGGTCATGCTTTTAAGGAACAGCTGCTTTGTGCGAGCCAGCAAGTCAGAGGATAGAGTCTGATGATCTGATTTTTCTGATAGTTTTGAAAAAGTTTCTCTAGATTGTGCTAATGATAACGAAAATACACATATCATTGATAAATATGACATTAAGCATTTGGTTCATGATGGTAACTATCCACAGTGTAGCCAGTAATATCTTGCAGAGTTGAATTCCACAGTCTGATTTGATTCACTGGGCGCTATCTAACAAAATGAAATTCAATGGTGAAAAAAGTAAGGTTATACATTTAGGCAAGAAAAAACAAATGTAAAGGTACAGTATAGGTGGTACCTTGCTCAATAGTAGTAATTGTGAGAGGGATCTCGGAGTCCTAGTGGACAATCATTTAAATATGAGCCAGCAGTGTGCTGCAGCTGCCAAAAAAGCCAACCCAGTGCTAGGCTGCATTAACAGAGGGATAGAATCAAGATCACATGAAGTGTTAATACCACTTTACAATGCCTTGGTAAGGCCACACTTGGAATACTGCATCCAGTTTTGGTCACCACGATGTAAAAAAGATATTGAGACTCTAGAAAGAGTACAGAGGTCCCTTCCAACTTTATTATTATTATTGTTATTGTTATTATTATTATTCAGTTGTATCCATCTTGAATATCCCATTTCTCAGCATTTGGGGATAACCCTGATTTTTAGTATTATGACTTCTCCGTGTCATATAAGTACGGTAGTCCTCGACTCATAACCATTTGTTTAGTGACCATTTGAAGTTAAAACAACGCTGAAAAGTCTTCATACTCACCAACATTGCCGCATCCCGATGGTCATGTGACCAGAATTTGGGCATTTGGCAACTGGCGTGTGCTGTGGTCATGTGATTGCCATTTGTAACCTTCCCAGCTGGCTTTTGACAAGCAGTGGGGGAAGCCAAATTCACTTAATGACTGCATGATTCACTTAACAACTGCAATGATTCATTTAACCACTGTAGCAAAAAAGGTGGTAAAATGGGTCAAAACTCACTTTGCCTTGCTTAGCAACAGAAATTTTGGGCTCAACTGTGGTCCTGAGTCAAGAATTATCTGTACTTAATTTTAATATACTTTACTTTCTCTGTGTTTTTTTTCTAAGTTTCAGAAATCCAATCAGAAATATTATACTTAGGAGAGTTACTTCAACTCTTAATAATAATAATAATAATAGTAAAGTTGGAGGGGACCTTGGAGGTCATCTAGTCCAACCCCCTGCTCAGGCAGGAAACCCTATACCATTTCGGACAAATGGCTGTCCAGTCTCTTCTTAAAAACCTCCAGTGTTGGAGCATTCACCGCTTCTGGAGGCAGGTTGTTCCACTGGTTAATTGTTCTAACTGTCAGGAAGTTCCTCCTTAGTTCTAGGTTGTTTCTCTCCTTGATTAGTTTCCACCCATTGCTTCTTGTCCTGCCTTCAGGTGCTTTGGAAAATAGCTTGATTCCCTCTTCTTTGTGGCAGCCCCTGAGATATTGGAAGACTGCTATCATCGCGGTGACCAAAACTGGATGCAGTATTCCAAGTGTGGCCTTACCAAGGCATTGTAAAGTGGTATTAACACTTCACGTGATCTTGATTCTATCCCTCTGTTAATGCAGACTAGCACTGTGTTGGCCTTTTTGGCAGCTGCAGCACACTGCTGGTTCATATTTAGGTCATTGTCCACTAGGACTCCAAAGTCCCTCTCACAGTTACTACTATTGAGCAAGGTACCCCCTATACTATACCTATGCATTTGGTTTTTCTTGCCTAAATGTAGAACCTTACTTTTTTCACCATTGAATTTCATTTTGTTAGATAGTGCCCAGTGTTCAAGTCTATCCAGATCCTTCTGTATCTTAAACCTGTCTTCTGGAGTGTTAGCTATTCCTGCCAGCTTGGTGTCGTCTGCAAATTTGATGAGTTCCCCATCTATCCCCTCGTCCAAATCGTTGATGAAGATGTTGAAGAGCACTGGGCCCAGAACAGAGCTCTGGGGCACCCCACTACACACTTCCCTCCATGTAGATGTGGTTCCATTGAGGACCACACGCTGAGTACGGCCGGTCAGCCAGCTACGGATCCATCTGGTGGTGATGCTGTCTACCCCACATTTTTCTATTTTGTCAAGTAGTAGGTTGTGATCTACTTTATCAAATGCCTTACTGAAGTCCAAGTAAATTATATCCACAGCATTCCTCTGATCCACTAATTTTGTCACTTGGTCAAAGAATGCAATAAGATTTGTCTGGTATGATCTATTTTTGACAAACCTATGTTGGCTTTTAGTAATGCCAACATGGGTTTGTCAAAAATAGATCATGCCAGACAAATCTTATAATCTTGATTATTTTAGTTCTATTGTATTTTCTATATCTTTTCCAGGCTACAGTTTTATGTTTTCTCGTTTATAGTAATTGTTCTTTTTACTTTTTCAGCCATTTAGAAGTATGTATCAGTATCTTGTTTACTGGCTGCTAAGTCAGAATCCATGAACATATATTTAAAGCTTAGGATTTTTTTTGGGGGGGGGGAAGTGTCTCAGTATGGATTTTTACATTGAAATTGTATTTGTTATTTTAAGACTCATTTTTCAATTTTGAAAGATTTTTTTTAAAACGTATCTCTGTTAGTTTCCATAAATAATGTACGTCCTTCTTACCTGTTTGTTTGTTACGCCAGATCATTGGTGATAATTTGTTTCTAGAAAAAGCACAAAAAACTAATCTGTCCCTCATTTAGTCCAGTGTGATGGACCCTTGAAAGGGCCTAAAAATCTGTATCACTACATGACAATATCAGACCCCTCTGAATTAGTGAGTGGAGAGTCTAAATCTAAACCAAGTAGGGATAGAAACAAAAAAAAATATGGCTTTACAAATATTCCAAGTAATAATCTCTTTTATTTTTTTTATAATTGTGTGTGATGTTCTTCTACAGCAGACTCTGGTGAACAAGACGACCACAATATACACAGTACGAGAGATGCAGCTCTCCCGTCTCTGAATAGTAGCATCACCATTGTTCCCATCACGGAACCATCTGAGAAGCTCCCTCAATACCTACCTCCTTGTGCAGAGGAAGCCTTGGGTCCTCTGCCTGAAAACTGGGAGATGGCTTATACAGAGAATGGAGAAGTCTACTTTATAGAGTAAAGTGTATTTTATTTTCTTTTTTTAATCTGTAGGTCCATAAGCGTCTGGGTTTTCTGAACATGGAGAGGGGAATTCTGCAGAAAGGTTGAATGTTCATTGCATTTCTGAAGACATAAACTATTTACTTTTGCCTGGCTTAACTTTGTAAAATCTTAGTCTTGCAAGTGGTCCCCCTCCCAAGTTCTGAAGTTATAATAAGCAGAATTGTGCCGGAAGGGACCTTGGAGGTCTTCTAGTCCAGGGCTTTTCAATCTTTTCACCCATTGTACCACTTTTAGGATATGGCAATATCCGAGTACCACCAGTCGCCTAGCAAGGTGCCAAAAACTTGATGACCAAAAAAAAAAAAAGGAAAAAAGTGATGAAGTACAGGTAGTCCTCGACTTACAACAGTTCGCTTAGTGACTGTTTGAAGTTACAATGGCACTGAAAAAAGTGCTCCCCAAGCCACAGCTGAGCAAGACACCTGCCTACCCACCCGGCGGCACTCTTCCTCCTGTCCGAGGTTTTCATTGTTGTGAGCATTTCTGTTGAGGATTGGCAGTGGGGGTGGGGTGGGGGTGTTTGGTTTTTATTCCCCCCGTCTGCTGGGTGGTTGCAGCAGGTTTTGGTCACTTCACATGACCCTGGGACACTGTGACCGTCATAAATATGAATCATATGCCAAGCATCTGAATGTAAATCACAAGACCCTGGAGATGCTGCAACATTCTAGCTGATCGGTGCTTCTTCTGGGCCCAGCAGAAGCGCCAGGATCAGCGCCGAGCTCCAGCTGAAGCCTGGCGCTGATCCTGATGCTTCCACTGAGCCCTGACAGTCCCGAAGAAGCACTGATCCTGGCGCTTCTGCTGAGCCCTGACAGCCCTTGCAGCTCCAGCCATCTCTCGCTCAGGCTTGTGTGGTGCTGCCACCGGTTCAGCTCATTCCCCTCCCCCACTACCACTTTTCTGGGATGGTCACGTACCACCTGCCAGGTGCCAATGTACCACAGGTGGTACCCATACCACTGGTTGAAAAGCCCTGTTCTAGTCCAACCCTCTGCCCAAGCAGGAGACCCTACACCATTTCAGACAGGTGGCTGTCCAGTCTCTTCTTAAAAACCTCCAGTGATGAAGTACTCACAATTTCTGAAAGCAAGCTGTTCCACTGATTAATTGTTCTCACTGTTAGGAGTTTCTCTTTAATTCCAGGTTGCTTTTCTTCTTGATTAGTTTCCATCCATTGTTTCTTGTCTTGCCTTCGGGTGCTTTGGAAAATAAGTTGATCCCCTCTTCTTTGTGGCAGCCCCTGAGATACTGGAATACTGGTATCATGTCACCCCTAGTCCTTCTTTTCTCTAGATTGGCCATGCCCAATTCCTGCAACTGTTCTTCATATGTTTTAGTTTCCAGGCCTTTAATCATCTTAGTCGCTCTTCTTTTTGGAGAAGATTATATAAGTAAAGAAAGTAAAAAAGGAACAATTTGACAATGTCCTGAATGAAGTGATGGGGTTTACACAGGCATTTAGATGGGCTGATCTTCCATGCTGACAGATCTTCTATTGATATATGCATTGTAATTAGTCTAGTAGCCTTTGCTCCCTTGAGTAAGTACCTTAGTGTGGTATTTTTCAACTTTAGCAAATGGAATAATGTTCTTTCTCTTATAGGCAAGATAAACTAAGTTTGTGATTGTGACTAGGACAAGATTGTTTCTTCCTTGTATGATAATGATCCTTCTTGGGCATTTGGAAGTGCAATCTCCAAGTAGGCTGCGCCTCATGGCTGAGTGATTTATCCAGATCATGTGTTTCTCAGTTTAGCAATTCCAGGGAATAGGCATAATGTTGGCAGCCTTCGGATCTTTTATTCAGCAATTAATGATAGCATATTAATTCATAAATACATTGTACCGAATCCAGTAGAGTTTATTTCAAACAAACGCACATAGAGTTGTTCGTGTAGTGACAATTCTTCATGTAATGATGATGCTAAACATTTCATTGCATAACACTCTGGCTGTCGACAGAATAAATTAGAAGCTAAATTCTTACAGTGTGGTAAGTTATTAAAAACATTCAGCAGTAACTGCCTTACAGTTTTCACAATTAGTCATCTTTATTTTCTATAGTAAACAAATTATAGGATGAAAAGCAAAAAAAAAACAACCTAATTTTCATTTATGCGATACTTAGCCCAGGATTTTGCATTGTTCTGCCTCCATAAATATATCCCTCGGCCTCAGTTTGGAAGGATATTCTAATATTTCACGACATCCCTTTATGATTTTGAGGTATAAACTGTTTTGTACTTTGGCAAACCCAGTGTTTTCCATTATTGTTAATTTGCTTTGCTTGCTGGACTTCTATGGCTTAGTTTACCAACTGGTGATTAATTGCCCAGAAATGCACAAAAGAATTGAATGGATGGATTCTTCTTGCATTGCAAGGGTGGGTAATGTAGTATGTGTGAAATGGTGACCTTCCACTCCAGCTTTCACATCGCTAGTAATGGATAGCCGGGATGTGAATACTCTCCTTTGAAAGCAGAACTCTTATTTAATAGTAAGTCTTCAAAGGAACATGTATATTCTCCTTCACATAATTTCGCAGGAGGGGTTAGATCAAGAGCACTTTGATGATCAGATCATTCTTTCGAGATTTGTGGAAGGAACCATGGTATTCTGTTTCAACAATATAGAATAGCAAGTTTTCTATGTTTTCCTATTTATCTGTGGGTACAGCAAATGCATTGTGTCTCTTTGAATGAAGAACCGTGAATAATCGTAAGGCTCAGCTGGGTTGTAGACACACCAAGAATTAAAGTGACATATTCTTTAAAAGTCATAGGAAACTACAACAGTGACTGGAATGGGGAATAAAGAACAGCATTGTATATGGCTCACAATCCAATCATGCAGCCCAAAGAAATGGAATAACAGAATAACAAGTTGGAGGGGACTTTAGAGGTTTTCTAGTCCAACCCCCAGTTCAAGCATTTCAGACAATGGTTGTTCAATCTCTTCATAAAAACTTCCAGTGATGGAGCACCCATAACTTCTGGAGGCAAGCCCTTCCACTGATTAATTGTTCTGTCAGGAAATTTCTCCTTAGTTCTAGGTTGCTTCTCTCCATATGCTGAAAATAAAAATTATGTGGACGTGTTATTTTTTTTTTGACTGATGTTTTTTTTATGAAACTTATTTTTCTATTTTTTATTTGTAGTCATAATACTAAAACAACGTCTTGGCTAGACCCAAGGTGCCTGAACAAACAGCAAAAGCCTCTAGAAGAATGTGAAGATGATGGTAAGACAATCAGGGTTTAAATAACATTTGGGAAGTCCACTTTTCTTGTTTTGAAAGTCAGTAGTTTACCATTCAGGCTTGATTCTCTGGCTACAATCAAACTTTAGTTGTTAACAAGTCATAGTGCATTAATGACAAGCGATCTAAGAATCGCACGTTGGTCTGTGGTCAACTTCAACAATTGGCTGCCCTCAAGACGTCTTGGGCACAAGAGACTCCCCAGAATATCCCAGCATGGCCTGTAGTCTTAACACAACCGCAATGTACAAATTTGAGTGGGCAACGGTCTTGTAGCTAGTGAAAACCCCTTTTTTTAAAAAAATGGCTGGTAGGCCTTCAAGAGTTTCAGAAGGACCATTGGTGACATAATGATGGAAGAGAAGGAGCATAGTTGGGATTTTTAGTGTTCTCCTCGCTGCTGTTTTAATTTTGTTTTGTTTACTACACGCACAGTTTCAGCAGTATGAACTTATAGTACTCCCAAGACTTAGAAGAGGCTGGGAGGAACTCCATATATCTCATTGTTTCTCTGCCCTTGATCTTTATCCAAAGAAATCTTCTGCCAGTTCAGTGAAACTCAGATGTGGGTCGAGACAAAGGAAATGAAACAAACATACATCCATAGCAGCTGCACATATAGGTTTTGGGTTGGATGGGAAACAATTCTTTTTTCATGGCATGGAAGTAGAGGGGGAATTATGTAGGAATTATGAAACCATACACCCCGCAAACACCCACCCTGGAAAAATGCAAACTAAAACAATTTTGAAAGCAGTAAAGAGAAAACCATCACTAGCAGCAAAAGTAGTAATAAAAAAAAGTCAGTTCGACTTACATTCAAAGTTAAGACAGATAACCTCCTCCCGAAGGCTATAATTTTGAGATTATAATGCCACCCCCCTCCTCCACAGTCACATCATCGTATTTGGGGTGCTTGGCAACTGACTTGCCTTTACGACCGTTTGCAGCCTCCCGCAGTCATATGATGGGGTTGGTTTTTTTTCCCCATTTTAGACGTTTACTTCCAGTTTCTGGCAAAAAGCACCCATTGGGAAAAATGGATTTGATTCATGGCATTTGCTTAACAACCACCACAAAAATGCTGAAAAATCTGGTCCGGTCATGTAGTGACCCTCTTAATGACCGCAACCACGTATGACTATAATTCCAGGCTCAATTACCGTCCATAAGATCATAAACGAAAAGAAAACAATAGTGAAATAAGTAGTGCACATTTTAACATTAGTAAAAATATTAAGGAAAACAAGATTATCATCTTTAAAAGAGCACAGCGCAGGCATCCGATGAGCCTCTAGAGAGGGTGTTTGATGAATAAGGCCTTGTACCGAAATAACTGTGCATTTAATGGCCATCGACATCTCATTAGCTGGAATGTCTAATTATGGTTACAGGGCCTTGGCAAGAAAATAAGGAAGAAGATTAATAAAATTATTATAGGATTAAAGGATAAAACTAGATTTCCAAGCTAGGTAGTATTTTAGTTATGGCATCATTGGTCCTCTTAGATTTTTTTTTATTACTGGAATCATAATTATAGTAGGTAAAACAAGACTAGACATTAGAGTTATGAAATCATGTGTTTTATTATCATATTATTTGGAGCCAAAGACGCTTCCTTAACTTTATGGAAGGCAAATCTGTATCTCGTTCTTCTTTTCTTTAGTAATATATTTTGCAATATATATTCTATATATTTCTGCAATGTTATATTGGCAAAGATTTAATTCTGACTGTTTCTGAAATACTGAAAGAGGGAAACTAGTGTGCTGTTTAAGAAACCAAACTACCTTAATTTGTTAGGTATGCATTGAAAATAGGAGGGAAAAAAGCATATGTATAAAAGCATAATATATTTTTGCAAGCAGAATATATGTTATTTGAAAACATTTCAAAAAGGCTAAGCCTAATTCATTTAAAACAAAGCATTTTCAAAGTTCTCTTTTGAACATGCAAATATAAGCTAGTTCTACATATAAAAAGGTTGCAGAAATATTTGTTAATGTAACACCATTATGGATTCTATGACTCAAAAGATTTTCTTAGACTATAGAATTAGGAATGGTAGATGTGGGCAGACAGAAATTCCAGCAATAAATTAAAGAGAGGTTAACATCACTGATGATGTTAAAAAGCTAAATGCCACATCCCTCTTTAAACATAAATTGAATTCACATATGAATAAACCAAAGTTTTATATATATTTCAGAAATAATAAACTCCTGCTTTGAAGGTACTTCCATAGCATGTTTTTCAAATATATCTTGCTTTGGGACTAAGGCTGCAGGGGTGACAAAAATTTTCTGGCAGGCAGTCACACTAAAAGCATGTCAATCACTTGAAAAGTGAGTGGATTTAGAAAAACAAATGCCAGCTTCCATTTTGATTTAATTCTTGGAATGTCCTTGCTGTCTTTTAAAACCAGTTTTAGCATGCTTATTTTTAAACTCAAGAAACAACACTGGTTACGTGACATGGCTTCTGTGTATGAACTCCTAGAGTGATGGTTTATGATATCTACCCCTGACCCAATGTTCTTCAGATACAGGTAGGCCTCAAGTTACAACTATCCATTTAGTGACCGTATGAAGTTACAACAGCACTTTAAAAAGTGACTTGTGACCTTTTTTCACACTTACGATCATTGCTCACACGATCCAAATTCAGATGCTTAGCAATTGACATGTATTTGCAATGGTTGCCAGCCAGCTTCCAACAAAAAAAAGGTCAATGGGGAAGCCAGTTACACTTAAGAACCACGTTACTAACTTAACGACGGAAGTGACTCACTTAACAATTGTAGCAAGAAAGGTTGTAAAAGGGGAATAATTCGCTTAACAGCTATCTTGCTTAGCAATGGAAACTTTGGGCTCAATTGTGGTCATTGAGGACTACCTGTGCAGACATGTGTTAAGTGAGTTTTGCCCTATTTTGCGACCTTTCTTGCCATCCATTGCCATCCTTCAGTCTTGAGAGACTATGGTATTGTGCTCTGGGAAGAGGTCCTAAGGCAGCATCTGGTGTGGCTAAAAAGGCCAAGTCGAGAATGGCAGTCCCTTCCACACTGAGGGCAGATACAATCTGTCCCCTGTCCAGCCCCCAGATTTCACTGCCTCTTTGCCTCAGCCTGCCGCACAAGAGTCTCTTCAAATTGGAAAAGGCCATGCTGCGTCTTTAGCCTCCAGGCTGAAGGATCAGAGGTCAAGGATTCCCAGCTGTTAATGTCCATTCCCAAGGCCTTTAGGTCCCTCTTGCAGATATCCTTATATCGCAGCTCAGGTCTCCCTCTGGGGCGCTTTCCCTGCACTAGTTCTCCATACAGGAGATCTTTCGGAATCCGACCATCAGCCATTCTCACAACATGCCCAAGCCAGCATAGACGTCGCTGTTTCAATAGTGTATACATGCTAGAGATTCCAGCACATTCCAGGACTGCGCTATTTGGGACTTTGTCATGCCAGGTGATGCCGAGAATACGTCGGAGACAGTGCCATAGTCATTAAGTATATCATTAGTAATTGGGTTAAGTGGCTTCCCCATGGCTTTTGCTTGTCAGAAGGTCACAAATGCTGTTCACATGACCCTGACTGCAACTGTTAGAAATACGAATCAGTTGCCAAGCATCTGAATTTTGATCATATGACCATGGGGATGCTGCAACGGTCATAAGTGTGAAAAACAGTCATAGGTCACTTTTTTCAGTGCTGTTGTAATTTCGAATGGTTACTAAATGAACTGTTGCAAGTCGAGGACTACCTGCATATCACACCCCAATTCACGGAAAACTCCCTGTCAGTAATGGCATTTATTTATTTAAAACATTTATATAGCCACCCCATCTTTCACTGAATTCTGGGAAACTCCCAATCAGCAGTTATAACAACTTCAGTAATAAACATAATACATAAATATATTAAAACCATAAGCACTTGAAGTTCTGGGACATAATGTTCAAGAAATTGGGTGGGCATTAATTCGGAATCTTTACACATCAAGTGAGACCTGTTGGCTCATTTCTTCCTGGATAATCAGTATCCAGCCATCCAGATGTACCTGAATGATAATTCCAGCATTCCTCACTGTTGACCATGCTAGCAGGGATTGGTTGGAATATTTGGACTTGAATATTGCGCAGCCCTCAGCAGATCCATTATGTTGCTTCAACGGCAAATGGCTCTAAATTCTTATGGAGATTCTCAATCATCCAGATCATGGTTGTCCCAAACGTGCTTTTCAAAAGGCAACTAGGCTTTCTTGGTTTGTTTTTTTTCCCCCTTGAAAATGTTTCATTTCTCATCCAAGAAGCTTCTTCAGTCCAGTTGCCTTTTAAGCACCTTTGGCCTTACAAATGGCTATGTAAATGTTTCCTGTTCTCGCTACCAGTAAAATTGTTTTGTATCGATTCTGGTTCTTATACATTAAAAATGGTGTCTGCTACCTGAGTCATGGTATCCTCCATCTGAAATTGAGAAAACTTTATGCTTATTAGAAAAAATAATACTTGAAATCAATACTGTTTGCACTGTGACTGATAGGAGATTATATTTACAATTATCAATTAATCTAGCTGGGAACAGTACTTGGTTATGTTTTTTTTGATGCTGAGAAATCTCATGTTTGGTACCTCTTTTTGGAAGATGTGGCCGATGTGTTCAAATGAATCCATGCCTGTCCTATAATTTGCTTGCAAGTTTTCTCATTTCTCATTTGCCGATTACAGTTTTGTTTCTTAATAAAAACAACACACACTCTCATTCATGCCATCATTTACCCATAAAAATTCTACGCTTTACTGGTATTTTTAAATAGAATACATTCTTTGCAAGTACTTTCGCATGAAAGTGTTTCTTAGAATAGAATAAAAGACATTTGCTTTGAAATTCCTTCAATTAGTCCATTTTGAAGTTACATACTTTGGCTAAAAATACACTCCTAAGATGACACCAACCAGCAAGCAGGCATTATATGATGTGTCAACTCAT